GGTCCTTGAAAATGAAAGAGTTTTATGTAGCTATGAGGTAATACTTCATGGTACTGATTAACCCCAGTTTACCAGCTTACTTTCGTCCAGTACTGATGGTAGTTTGAATATTACTGAGAACTTGGTAAATAAGAACAGCAAAATTTTCCTTTTTTTTTTTCCATTTCACTTAGTTCACAAAATTCCATTTTCTAAGGAGTTGATATACACTATTACTATAACGTTAAGGTCTAATACTATAATAACATGTTTGTTTATGAAAGTCAGTCTAGAGTGTAAAATACGAAGCCATAGTAGAGGTAATGAATTATCTGTATTTAGACACACAAAACAGGCATGATGGTTAAGTAGAGAGTATGTTTCCAGTGGATTCTTTCAGTTGCAGCCTTTTAAAAAATTTGCAGCAAAATATTTATTGTAATTGTTGTAAATACTGTGTTCTCAACATCTCTAATAAAAAATATCAGTGGGATTAAATCTTTAAAAGCACAGTTCTTAGTGGCTTTGAATCCAGAAGGATCATGTAATTAATAAGACTGTATTTGACAAAGAAATATATAATTTATATATAATATAATACATGTAATAACATAGAATTTAACATATAATTTACAATTATATGCCTGCCAAACCAAGTTATTTGAGCAAGTTTTTAAAACAGCTGATGATGTAATCCAGCTGCACTGACAGTGCACGGCTCACGTAACCCTGAATACTTCAGGCAGTTTACGGAGGAACTTCATTGTAAACAGCTTGGTCTTTGCCCCCTCGCTTTTTAAAGGAAGTTCTTTTGGCTGAGATGAAGGGAAATTAAAAAGAACATTATTGACATAAAATATTAAAAGGCAGGCTTTCTGAAGCCAGCTTTAGTGCATTTTAACTTTTGCCTTTAAATTCCATTATAGGCAACGTTTTGCAGAGCATTATCAGTGATGCACATAGGAAAGTTCTGCAGTGCAAAGTATAAAATATGCTGATGATTTAACATCTCGCACAACCCAGCGCTCCCCACACGGGGGTCAAAAGCCAGAGTTCAGCTGGACTCACAAATACATCACCCTGAATCAAACAGACCATCCCTAAATAGAAGCAGTCACTAACGTACACACTCATTACATTAATAAATTGCTCGCTAATGGGAGCAGTGACAAGTAAGATGTGCACTTAGTGGCCCTGTTTGCAGCCCACCCCCGATGCCTGAATGCCCGTTTTTCTCTGGGTTATGTTCTAAAGGCTTCAAAGTGCATGAAGAAAAATCTGCTCAGTGTTGTGAAATAAATCAAAGAGCGTCTGCTGAAAATTCCTAAAACGCTTCAGCCCTAATCTCCTGGACCAGAGAGTGGGCTTGCAGAATGCTAAACTTGCTTTTCAAAGATCAAAGCAACACGAGCAACAATTAAAAACACGGCTGCAGGTGTGCACATGCGCAGGGGCACCGCGGAGGCAGTGAGAACCTCTTTTTAGTCATCCCTGAATGCTAACGCTGACTTATCTAATCATTACACGTGTGATTTGAAAGGACGGGAGACGTGGTTAAAAGGTACGCAAAAACTGTCCGCCTTTATGCATAAAGTGTTTTATGCACACACAACATTTTCCGAGATACACTATTTCCATTAATTTTGAAAAGCTCCTTAGCCACTGTCTAATTAAACCAGCCTGTAATTTTGTCGTTTAGTGATTGAAAGATAAATGAAGTTGCAATTGTGTATCTACCCCTCCTAGTGTTACTTAGTCTTTACATAGGTTTTAGTCTCCCAGACCTTACTTTAACACTTGGAAGGCCAGCTGCTTGCCTTACCAAACACCTGAAGAACCAGACTCACACCGCAGCCTCTTCAAGTGGTATCGGGCTGTTGGGCAGCGTCAGGGCACCGCAGAGACTTTATTTGCCTGCTTCTACTTTTAAACGGTGCTGGTTGTTCTGCCCAAGCCTGGGCACTTCTACCCACGCTTACACAAGAAATACTCATGCTAGTAGATGAGTGGGCTTACACGAGAACTGCTCGTGCTGGCAGGTGAGCGCCCAAGGAAGAGTGACGTTGCCTGACAGGCGCTACGCCTCCGGCATGGGGGGAGACTTAGCAGCCAACCTGCTATTTCCCTGACAATATGGTTTGTCTGTTTTCCCCTTCTCAAGCTGGTATTTCACTGAGCAAACTAGAAAGAAAAAAAAAAAAAAGCGCAGCTGTGGGAAACAACTCTTCGAAGTTCACAGGGTGAGTAAGGAAGGAGTAAAACCCTGAATGAACTCTCCTGGCTGAACTGGGTTAGGATGAAAAATGCTTCTGCTAAATCTTGAAAATTTAGGTCAGTCTTGTTTATGTGAAGATATAAACCACTGACATTTTGAGAAGCATGTGAATCTAAATGATATTTCAGTGTTTTCTCTGAATCACATCGGGCCACCAGGCCTTTTTATACCGACCAATTTTTCCCCCTTCAAATTAAAAAAAATAAATCTGAATTGTCACTTAAGCTGTAAGCAGCAACATATTGGAGTATCGTGCTTTAAAGTCTAGTGGCAGCAGCTGCTGAAATATTTCACATTTTTAAAATACACTGAGTGAACCAAGTAGATACTTGGGAAACATTTAACAGAAGAGAACAAAGTAGGTACAATTTTCAAAGCTATCTGCTTTTTTCTTCCCCCGTATTAATACTGGTTACATTATTCCCCCATGAGCATCAGAGAAGATGAGGAAACAGATAATTGATGCTTTTCTGGGACCTAACTGATGTTATCCAAAACATGCATCACACCAAATATCCATTACATTTAACACAGCTCAACATAAGGCGATTTTGACGATGCGAATAGGGCTCAATCCTATTTCTCTTCAAATCCACGTGAACAGTTTATTACATACAGAACCAAGCTCAGTGATTCATTTTGATAAAATGCTACTTAGCAGCATCAAAACTGCCTGAGTATTTTGTCTGCCTATACTGGGGCCTCCTACTGCTGCCATTGAAACAAATGGCAAAATTCCCACTTACTTCCATGGGAGGAGAGCCAAGCCCTTAGAAACCTTTGTATTTAAGGAAAAACATTTTTCCTCCCGCTCATGACTACAGTTCTCCTGAAAAACCAATGGAAATGTTTAAGAAGTCAGGTGGTTCCGACTGGACCCAAAGGTCAGGAACAAAGTATATTAATACAGTCTTGCTATTGAAAAACTGAGCAGCATCCTCGAAGCGTTGTTGTTGTTTTTAAACAGAAAACGTCACTCTCGGATCTAACCAGGAAGATTTTAAAATACATATAAATCTGGGAAGAAGAAATGAAGCACACATTTCATTTAGTGTCTGGATTACCGATTCTTATTAAACAAACCAGAGCTCATTATAAAATCAATATCAACTTAACCACTATACTCCCAGGAGAAATGGCAAAAAAGGTCACTCCAAGAAATTCAAACAATTTTCCTGCTGGAAGGGCACGATTTTAATTACAGATACTATTAATTAGAGCTGTCAGTAGGAAGATTGTCCTGTTAATTATCACAAATTCAGTTTCAAGTGTGATTTTGGAACCTGGGGGGCTTTTTTTTTTAAATTAAGAATTCTTGTATTCACGTTTAATGGAAGAGAAAGACTACCTATTGCTTCTGTGGTTTAAATAAGTCAACAGCAAGTTCCCTGTTAAAACCAAACAAAAGTATTTATGGCCACGGTCTCTTTGGCCAACAAAACTGATCTGACAAACGGCTGTTTTGTTCACACTTCATCCTGGAGGACACTCCTTTTTTCCACTGGAAATGCTCTTGCTCTCACTCTCTCTTCCTTTGGAAGTCATTAAATTTAAAGGTGCAAAGTAATTTAAAGATTTTTTTTTTTTAAAGTAAACATTCCATTTAAACTGAAAACCATTCCTGAAAATACTAATTGTCACAGAAACATTAATATTTATCATTCTGTACTAAAATCTCCCTGGACCCAGCCTGTGGAGACGTACTTAATACGTTACATCTTTAACATGTAAGAGGCACAGGCAGACCCAAACTTTGCGAGGAAATATGAGTTTATTCCCGTATGACTCCCAGCTGCCAGTTTGAATCTATCTCAGCTCCAGAATACAGAAAGGCCATAATGTCTGATCCTAAGCAGAACAAGAAGGTAAAATAAAACTTGACAGAAGAGTGCCATTAGCGAGACCCTATGGGTGCAGAGCAGACACAGATACTACAGCAACAATGTTTACACATTCTTGAATTCTTTTTCCTGGTCAAACTCCAAATATTTTGGGATAGCAGAGCAGAGCTGTGTGGTCTATGACCACAACACGTGCATTACCACACCAATAACACGCCGAGAAATAAGTGCCACCATCTAAAACAAACTTCAGGGAGATGCAGAGTGTCTCTCCACCCAACACTTTTGAAACTGAATGAGAAAGCCTGAGGTTTCTGATTTATTTCAGGAAATCTGAGCGCAGCCCTCCCGTATTACTGGGTACACATCTGCTACCATTGTTCTCCCAGAACCAGTCCTGGTTTACCTCCCCATCTATCAGCATTAGATTTCATTTTATCTGAATAATGGCAGAAGGTGGCAACAGATCGGGTCAAAGGCTCTTTTCATATCAGACCCTGAAGAAGTCGATTACTCAAAAAGAGAGACATCTTCAGATAACCGTGCAATCCATTCCTCATAAATGTTAAAGATTTTTCGTTATTAATAGTGGCAGGGGTGACAGATTATGGATATTAATGTTATTTTTCAGAGAATTTCAATGGCAAGAGCTTCTTTTTTTCTTTTCTTTTTTTTTTTTTTAATGTTTCTAATTAGGCACGAATTTACACCAACTACCAGAATAGCCAAGATGAATACCCAGCAGTAACAAGCTGCTACAGTGAATCCGCGGGAAGATGAACGGAGCGGGGGGCCGGCATGGAAAACAAACCCACCCCCTCACCTCCCAACACCAGCAGGGTCCCCCCGGGGTCTGCCGGGCACCCCGGGGGAGCAGGGCCGGAGGAGGAAAGCTTGGTCCTTACCTGATAAGCAGCGGGGGCGTCGGAACCGGCGTCGGCCCCCAGGGCCGAGAGCTTCTCCTTCAGGCGGTGGTGGGCGCGGTGGCGGAGGCAGTAGGCGACCCCCGACGCCGCCAGGACCCCGGCGATGCAGGCGAGGGAGAGGAGGGTGAGGAGGAGGAATTTGGCGGACTCTGCCTCTTCCCCGCGCTGCGGGAGCGGCGGGACGTTGCTTTTCTGCAGGGGAGGAGAGAGAGGCAGCGCCTGAGTTGCGCGGTCGCGGAGCAGCGCGGAAAGGGGGACCCCGTCGGAGGAGAAACAGCCGGCAGCGCTAACTTTCAGCCAAGGATGAAAGCAAACGGCCGGGCAGGGACAGCACTGCTGACATGCCCCCCTCCGTCCCCTCCCCTCCCGGCGGCTTGCATTTAACTACCGAAAGGCGGAGGCGGGCGCGCTGGCTCCGCGCAAGCACCGCGGCGCGCCCTAAAAAGGAGGTGGCGGTCCTTCCTTTTGTCTGTTGTAGAAGGAAAAGGATAAAAAAAGCCCGATAGTTCCAAACTCCTCCAGATTACTATTATTTTTGCAGCAATAGGAGAGAATCCTTCTAGTGCGTTTCACTTGTCTCCATGTGCTAAAAAGTTGTACAATAATTTCCCCTCATTAGCTTCATTATAAGCTATATTAGCAACAATTAAAAACGCAACATGAAAATGAAAAGACCAGGCGCGCAAATTGCAGCAAGACTCATTTGGCCTGCTTTCCCCCTTTCACAATTACCAGGGAAATGAATTGAAAAGCACGCCCCTGCCTCAGTCCTGGTTGCTACAAGATGAGAACAATTAGCAAACTCCTTTCCACCACCTAATTTCGCGTGGTAACAAAATGGATTTTTCCCCATGAATGCCTAGCCGGCCTATTCATTATCTCTCCTCTATTAGTAATTTTCTGCTCCGTATTCAGCTAGCCAGCTCTTAATTTCCTCCTGTCTTGCAGTGTACACAGTGGCTCTTATGTCAGGCCCGGTCCATTTTTATCTTGTAATCATAAAGGCCACCAAAGCAATTATCGCTGGTCTTGACTGTAAAAGCTTGTCATTAATTAGCCTCCTTGCCTTCAGTGCTGCGGATTAGCCGGGGCTGAGGCTGAGTTAATGGAAATGCAGGTTCAATAAGACTCCCGGATTTTCCTGCCTGGATGCGCCGAGCGGAGGAGGATGCCGGGTTTGTAAACCCCGGGCGGCGGGGGGCGGGCGCAGGGCCCTCCGAGGCCAGGCTC